CATACATTATGCGATACGCATAAATAATCGTTAATATATTACGTAATGATATATATTGGTACATTAACATCTTTTAAAAACTATTTCACTGCTATAAGCCTGCATTTCTGCGCATTAACACTTATAAAACATTTTGGAAATGTTTACCACCTTCGCTACGGATATTTACAAGATGTTAACATTAACTACTTAACTACTCACATATAACTTAATGTTCTTAAGGTTGATTTAACTTAAATAACTCGGCTTAATTGTATACATTAACTTTACGCAATATAGTACATAATATATCTAACTATGTGCAATATCCATCTTTGTATACTTAAATATTGTACTATACTATACTAACGGGCAATAGATTAAGTCTGTATATTCGTCAGTAAAAATTTTATCGGAAAGAATTTCGAGCCAGTCTGTAAGCTTTGGTATGGTACTGCAGTTACCCATTGAATTAGTCTCTCCACATATCCATTCGATCGCAATATCGGATTTCACYAATTGATTTACAACCTGGGATTCCGCAAATTCATTCGAAATTCCAGATTTTGCCAACATCATCAAAGTAGCTGTGGAAAAAGGATAAAAAATCTGATTTATTAACATTAATTCCATAAATAAAACCGTGTACTCATAGAAAGTTTTATAAAAATAATCATAAGATATAGGTATACATTTTAATAAAATGGTACTCACAGATTAYGAAAAATAGTCTCATCATATCTGCAACATGGTATATAATATTAAGAATTATTTTTATCAGATGAGTTTTTAAACCTCAATATTATAATAATCATCGAAAAAAACATTTGGACTTAATTAAATAATCAGTTGAATTATTAAAGTATTTTAGAACATTAATTTTAATCAATTTATCAATCGATGTAATTTTTTTTTTAAATAAGTAAAATTATTATAATATTCTGATATTTTTTTACTAAATTATTAGACCAAGATTAATGTTTAATGTTGTTGAAATGCTCTTTTTTAAATACACCTATTATATATTTAACATTACATGTCTTATTTGATAAGTAAATTGAAATAATATATTTTATAAGTCAATAATGGAGTTTTCAGAAATCAGTGACCAAAAAATATGGAGATCGCATATTTTTATCGAGTGATGATCAACAATTTAATTCAATAATCAACGTTCACTAAATAATAACTTTAATTACAATTGACGGGTAAATTAATATTTTTATTTATAGATAATTAAAATATTAAGTTCCTTACTGATGATTGCCACAGTGATCTGTAATATCTGTAAAAATGTATCTGCTGAATAAGTCTGTTGAATAAGTAAGTAACTATTATTACAAAAATATTGTGCAATATATCGGGTAGATATTTATGAAAAAATAATTAAGAACATACTCAATAGAAAATCACAGTTGATCCAATACTTGACATCGACCYAAGTTCAGAAACTGATCAATCCCTCGAATACTAACGAGTAACGAGTCACAACCAAAATTCTACTGATTTTGATTTGCCCCGACTGGTTTTATTATGATCACTTTGACATCAGTCCAAAAGGGGTGGGGAAAGTCGGTTTATTATACGCCAAGGCCGAGTTTTTTTTTAAATAATATACCTACTATTATTGTTTTTACTATTACGGACACGTCTTACCGACGTATTTTCTTCTAATCGGGTTTCCGCAAATTTCGTCAGATAACCTTAGTTTCCTGTTATTGCAAGTGCCTACGCATAATTTTAGGTACCAAAACTCTGTTAATAATATTAATTTTAATACACCTACATCGATATGATATCAAACTTTGTGGCGTACAACTAAATAGAGAGATAATTTTAACGTTAATAATTTTGTATTACTYAAATATTTTAATATCTCTCCATTTACTGATAATTTATTATTTTATGTGTTTTACTTTTGATTTCCAATAATATTATAATAGTACATAGTTATACACAGGTATTGATCCGAGAAGAAATGTAGAAGTATGGATTAGTAGCCAAAATTTGATCTAATAGATTCGATTTCCCATGAGTTGTATGTTGCATTTATGTTTAAATTGTGTGGCTGCCACATTGGAATATCTATTTTATATACCAACTRTTCTCAACCTTTTTATATATTGTATATTATACAATTCTAAAATTTGCACGTACAATTTGACCATTTAGTTTTTTGCTTACCAAAAATGTATACGATATTTTCTATGCGTGGAATTGTATTTCATTAGAAACTACAAAATGATAATGATATCATAAGCATTTAATGCGTAAAAATAAAATAAAATATGTACAGTTAGATTATTTATATTATTATTAATATCAAATAAACCAAATAATATTCCGTTTTATTTTATAAAGGGAGCTTATTTCATAGGGTACCGTCTGAGAGGTTTCCGCGTACCACAGATTTAGACACGTTGCTATATATACCTACTGTTGTAATTGAGTGTAAATAATTTTAAATAAATTAAATCAATGATTATTGTCCACTCTTTATTTTTTTATATATATATACAATATATATATATATTTTTTATATATATAATATGATAATAATAACGTATCTTGTAAGTTGTGACTATATGGTTGTATTTTGTTGTAGTACAAACAAACTGTTTTTTACAATCACTCTCTCATAGTCATTTAATATAATATTCTAGTAAAACGTTAATTTAGATTCAATGTCCTAACAGTCACAGACTCTGCTTTAAATTAATCACAAGACAAGTAACAAATATTATATATTATTTTAAATAATGTAAAAATTATTATTACACTCAATTAAACTGTTACTTAGTAATCTTTTAAAACTATTGATATCGGATATACGAATTTCAAAAAATTTAAATCTATATATCTAAGTTTAAATGATTAATGTCAGGAAAAATTTAATAATAGTAAAAAAGGAAAACGTTCAATTTCATAATGTATAGATATACCGATATATAGTAAACGTACAACTAAAACTTGGTAGTAAATTTTTTGTCTAGGATAGAGTTTATTAGGTAATTAATTTACTGAACGATTCCACATAAAGTCACGAATTAGTATTATTTATGTTTACTTATATATAGTGTTTTTAAACACACGGCGATATGAATAGGCAAATTATACAGGGATAGAATATTAAATCAAATATAAAAATTAATAAATTCTATTTAAATTGGTATGCATAATATTACTACACAACATAATATACTGAAAATCAAAAATAGTTGACATTGCGCCACTAATTAACATTATGTGTAACCCATTAGATTTTTTTTTTTTTAAATGTTTTCTATATTCTATTAAAATCAGACAATTATTATAGATGATTATTGATTACTGTAATAAAACTTTCAAAAAAAAAAGATGATTTTTAATTTTTAAAATATACCTTATCAATGTAGTAAATGATAAATATATTTTTATTTATATTTTAATATGATCTTAACCTCGTAATATCGTTACCATTACTTAAGTCCTATTAACCTTAAAAAAAATTATGTTTTTAATATTTTTTACTGCACCTAATATTTTATTAATTTTTTTTTTAATTACAGCATACATTTTTGATTTTACATTCCAAAGCKTAAAATTTCATAGAATTCTACTTAAATGAGTAACATGTATAAAATTCGTATTTCGAAAGAATATAATTTCATGGTTATTTTATTTTATTTGAAGCTACTTAAAGATATGAGCAGAGCAAAATATTAACATTTTCAAAGTATCCCTTAAGTATAATATACATTGGAATAAATGGATAAAAATGTATGCTATCATTAAAAAATAAATGTTGATTTTCATAATTTAAAATAATATTCCAAATAAAGTTGG